CGTGTAGGGTAGTAATGACATAAAGGTCTCAGTGGGAACGATTTTTTAACTCCGTGCAGAGTTATCTTTGCCGGAATTTCGTCGCAATACATCGACACGAGTCTCGCAGGTGCTTCGGTTGGCTCGTGACACATATGTCATGGTCCGTCTGCAATATGCGTAGTAAGTTTGGTTTAAGAAGTAAGAGTAAGAAATTGACCATCACAGTCGATTATTCTTTTCACAATCGACTGTGATTGATCAATTTCTTAGACCCAATTTCACAATATATAGTTACCTAAAGATTAAAGGTAATCAAGAAATTCATGAATGAATTTCATTGATGAATCTGTTGGTAACCTTTAATCTTTAGGTAACCATATATTGTGAAAACGGGCCTTACTCGTATTTCTTAAACGAAGTTTACTTCGCATATTGTAGACGACGCCTCGCGCGATACCGACGTGATGGAGTAATACTACTCCGAATAAGTTTTTCGCTCGGAATATTCACAATTATTTAATAGAAACGTTTTAGAAAGACGATGTGAGATTACACCAACAGCAGCAAGCGCCCACGGATCCGCTTCGCAACAGTTGAGTTTGCTGAACGCGATCATCAAACACCTCGTTCGGCTCATAGCACTTATATTTATACGTATATTTATTATTTTTTCTAAATTATTTGAGCCCGTTATGTAATCGTTTATTTTTGTAATTTATTTTATTTCTGAATTAGAAAATACATTTATTTATTATTACATATTCAGAAATGCCTGACAGATATGGTAAACCAACAGGAATCGGGACGAGTGATCGTATGTGTGTTAAAAAGTATCTGACTACTGTATTATACAAGTGTTCCTAACGTAAATGTATAAAAAAGAACCGTAAAAAAAATGTATAAAAGAATTTTATAAAAATAAAATTTCTTTGTAGCTATTGATAGCGACGTTCTATAAAGATTTGGCAATGAAAGTTTGATATTATTTATAAGATAATTAGTACAAATTATAGAACACCGGCTATGAATTACTTTTCCGGCTACCTGATTAAATTCATTAATTCATTAACAAGCGTTTAATGCTTGTTTGAGATCAGCTATGAGATCGTCTTCGGTTTCAAGGCCAACAGATAATCGAATTAGTTGATCGGTTATGCCCAACTTTGCTCGCATATCTTCCGGCACGGACTGGTGCGACATTAAAATTCTAAAATGAGACAAATTGGTTCTCAAACTATATTTTTAAATATATACATTTCTTAAATATACAGGGTGTTTCCAAATTAAATCGCAAAACTTCGGGAGCGTGTAGAGGAGTAAAAAACTAAGAAAAAAAGTCCTATAGACATATGCTCGTTTTTGCTCCGTTTCAGAGAAATCGAAAAAAAATGTTTTTTTTACCTGCAAGATTAAATGGGGACCGTTTTCTAAATTTCTTGGAGAATGAATTTTCTGACTATTTAGAAAACATCCCATTACAACAACGTACTGAAATGTGGTTTCAATTAGATGGATGCCCTGCTCATTACAGCAGAGTCGCTAGAACCTGGTTAGATAGA